ACCATCTCAACCCCTTTGTGTAGCTCTGAGTATGCATCCAAAGTATTGACTAGTTTTTCTAGTGAGATCTGGACGGCTTACCAATAGGAGTCGCAACCATAAACAGTGTAGTATTAACAATTATTTTCCAATAAATAAATGTGTTCGGCACTTTTGTTGAATCGTTTCGTTGTTGGCACACAAAGAAATACTTCTTTATTGAAACATAGTGGCTGAGGAACGTGCGAGGGATTTTTTGGAATGATGAATGAACTTTAAAGCTTCACGATCTGTAATATTGGTGGATTTCTTTCCAAACAAATATTTATGATGTCGTTCAACAGAAAACATTGCAGCTAGTGCTTCTTGTCGTTTTTGTCAATAACCTTGTTCAACAATAGTGAGTGAAACACCGGTCACTGATCTACCTTTCTGCTCCAAAACTGCACTACTACCCGCTGGTAATGTGCTAATAATAAGTGCAAAACGTATACTAGGGGAGTAAGTTCGAAAAACAGCATCGCTTTGAGGAAACTTTAGTAGACTTTGTGAGCCTGACTCTTGTTTCTCACCTCAATCAAATGAAGTAGGTGTCAAGATACTATATAAACAATTGTCACGACGATGAAATTTAGGAGTTAAACGAGGATGGTATTGAAGTGCACCCACTAGTGAGCATAGTTCTGTAAGACTTTTGGGGGATTGTGCATTTGCCAGTAGAGCTAATCGCTTTATGTCCGGTTTAAAACTTATTGTCAACTAGGTATTCAAAAAAATAAAAACTAGATACACAAAATGAACACTTAATAAGATTCCTCGTAATATTCTCAATTAAAAAACGTAATAAAGCAATAGGTCTCTGGTCATCAACTACTTTGTCATAACCATGGATAATAAGATCATAATGATAAACTCCAACACCTTTAAGTTCACTGACCAAATTATTCCTCACTTCTTGAAATATGGCTAGAGAACAAATTTAACTAAATGAAAGTATTTGAAAAGACCAAAATGAGTGTTAATTGTCGTTAACCTAGGTGAAGATTGATCTAAAGAATTCTAAAGATAAGCATCCTTTAAACTGGTTTTGAAGAACACCATAGCTCATGAAGTCGATCAATAATATATTCAGCTTCCACCGTCGTGCACATTTGCATCAATCTATAACCACTATATATTCTTGCAGTCCCGCTATCAGACTTCAAGATCTTAACGATAAAAGTACTCCCTGCCGGGGACGAAATCGTTTCAATTATACGGTTTAAATACAAATCATTGAATTTCTGATGTACAGATTCGTGAAAACCACAAGGAATTATTCGCCATTTAAGTAGGACAGAATTCTCATGTACTTGAAGTTTTATAAGTTGAATTCTCATTCTTCCACTGCGATTAGCACACGCGGCCATCAAAGCTAACAAACAACTATATTTTGAGCCTCTTCAAATTCTTCTAAACCAATATTCATATTACTATTTCACTAACTAAAACCTCACACGGCGTATATGAGAAAAGTGTAATCTTAAATCAGAGATTCACAGCATCCCCGTATAGAAAATTGTGTGTTCAGTATTCTCCAATACTGAGACTTCAGTAGGTCGTACTACAACGTTAGAATCTAAAGATTTTAAGCTCATGAATGAAATATTGCCTGTTTCAACAATAAAGCAGTGGAATGGAGATATATAATCACCTCTGAATATAGAAATTGTCTTTCAAAATCGTGGATTTGTAGTAGCACTGAGTCCTAACTACACAATCTTCAAAGCAGAACATGAGACAACCGAGAAAATGGACATTCAATATTTATTACAGTGAGAAACCCGACGATAGAGAAGGCGGGAAAGCGGAATGCAATTGAATCCATCGGGTGGCATAGCTCAGGCTTGCAGGCGAGTTCATCCATGTCTAAATTATCACTTTTTTTCATATAAAATATATTGCTCTAACTCCAGCCTGAATTTGTTCTCCATCACATATTGGTAATTGTTAAGATACGATGACACACTGTAGACAATAATGTGACTTCTATGTGAGATCTTATAATTTAGGTAGTTACACCATGACAAATCTACAATTTTAAAATAAGGCTTATTATTAGAGCAGTACTACTAACGAAATTGACCATAATTCTACACATTTACTTTTTTTTCATTTTATTCTAATCGAGTTAGATTCTGTTTGAGAAGATACTTATTTTTTTCTAAATCTACTTCTCTTTTTTAGCCATATGGACCGTATGAATTACGAAACTAACGGAAGTCTCAATGTTTACTTTTAATTCGTGGATACTGTTGGTGATCACTCTAAGTGTTACTCCACGATAATTTCTAACTTAACCGCTAGCTTGCATCAAACTTCAGTGTCAAAACAAGTATAAAAATAGTAAAAACCTTTCATTATCAAAAATGATCTCTCACTACGCAGGCACAGATCACAAGTAACAAAGTATCCATCAATTCTCTCGGGCAAAGTATCAGATTTTGCTTTTTGAAACATTTCAACATGCGTTTGAGCACCATGACTGAAAATGACAAGAGCGACGTGAAAAGCTTCTCCTTTCATTGCAGACATAGTATTTTCATATTTATTTACAGCTGGCAACAAATGATCAGGTCGTCGCTTCCTGTACACGTCGTAGTTTTCCCTATTTCTACTGCAGACGAAAATTCTTTAGGGTCTCGATATTATTTATGCGAATATTTTTCAATATTAGAACGAATAATTTGACAGAAATTGAGTGCCGAGTATAGAAAAGACAATTTATGTGAAAAGTACATTTAAAATAATCTAGGCGACTGAAATTTAAATAAATTCCAACTTCAGAGTAATAATCAAAATCATTGAAAGGGATATATATGGCCTTTTACCGATCAAATCGAATCTATGTTGTGCTTAATTTAATCATATTTGGATGTTGATTTTAGCAAATAGGATAACACGAGTTATTTACATGGGAATCATGTGGAAATTTCATGTGGATATGACTAACTGAAACGAATCGTTTGTGTGTATATGTAACATTTAGTTATTAATTACTGATATTCGGTCCTAATATGTCTTATATGAATGAATAAATAAAAAATGTGCAAGTCCAAAGTTGAAAAGATTGTTTCTGAATCATCGATGTGCATGTCAAATGAGCATCACCAAATACATAATTGCACTGCTGAAATAACTCACATTAATTCTAGTCAAAATAACGATATATGTTAAATAAACAGGTTGAATAAGGAAAGATCCAATTACTTGTCAGCCAGGCAGTCGCTTGTTGAATATCGTCCTTTCGGTTCAGGCTGTTCTTGTTCGCCCATATATACAGCGCTTCAAATGTCAATCTTTCTTTATGAGTGTTAAAATCTTTCTGAAGTATTTTGGTCCCTACGAAGTTAATCTGGTGTCCTGTTTCTAACGCATGTAACGCTATCGCAGACTTATTGTCAAATTTCTTTAGGTTTACCGAAGATTTAAGAACATTTTCAACCATTATTTGTCTTCCTCTATTTTTACTTTCAACTGTCTGAATGCTTCTGCCACATAAGCTGCATTACAATCATGACAGTTGATCTCATAGACAACATTCCGTTGTTCTTCCTTTGGTAACCTATCGATAATGTTCACTAACGTCTATTTTATGGTGTCACTAGCCCAAAAATACACTGTTATATCATGCTCGTTAAGAATCTGCTTGATTTCTCCCGATGTTTCAATACGGTATGGGATGACCACGGTGGACTTCCAATCTTTCCGTATACATTCTAGTTCGATTTTTCTTTCATTTCCAATAATCTTCTTTAAAATTCCTTTGTGTAATTGTTAACCCTAAGTGTGAACAATACTCCATTCCATTTAACTTGTTGGTCTTCCTTGTCTGTAAAGAGCTTAACACTGCAGTTCATTAAATTTTTTACGACACTGACTTCCGTACACCCCGAACAATAATCTAAGTATCTCTCAGGATGTGTTGATCTCCTGAATACATTTATTTTCAACCTAATGATATATCTTCGTTCAACCAAGCAATCGAGAAACGCTGGTTACGTGTCCCGCTTATTGTTTATTTGTCCAATTACACTTCAAACATGAGTGCTTGAAATAATCATAAATGCTCTTTTGAAAGCAACTGTGAAGAAAAATATCTTGTCCATCAATTTAGTGAGTTCTGGTTAATCACTGAACAAGGTCACCTCAACGTAATACTAAGTAGACTAGATATTTACACTCTCAGCTAACAATATAATAGTACCAAGACCAATATTATTTTAGCGGTGTGATGTTTTTTTTATATTTTAAGATAACAAGTGTAAAGGTATACACAAGCACATATGAGAAATATAGGTGCAAAATTATAAAGATATAAGAAGTATATGCTCAAAAGGTAATAGTTTCATATAGAGAAAAAAAGAGTTATTATAAAGCCAAAAATGAATCCATAGCCGTTTCCAGTCAAGGTTTAGGTTTAAAAGTTTAGAAAAATCAAGATGTGTAATGATATTAAATGGTACAGTATAATGCGGGCGTAGCAGATAAATATATACTTTCGTCGCTATTCTTGCTTGGTGTTTTCTTACCGTTGCACCAGTAATTGACCAACTACAGTTACAAATGTCTCATCCAAACAGATCCTCTGTTTGTTTTATACTTGATAGCCATCCTTGCACAAAGAAATGTAGGTTGTATATGGCTGTGATATAAAATGCTGCATGGTCAGGTTACTGGACCTATTGGTCACCAGACTATGTAGACTGACTGTCCATAATCCCCACTGCTCAAAGTAGGGAGTAATATGGACGCGTCGATATCTGCTAATTTGTTATCAACATCACGTTCATGTCAAGAACCAGTTTCAATTTGGACAAGAGGCTAGATGGTCTGTGCTAGTCCTGACTGGGTAGTCTTATATGATTCGGTATAAATATTCTAGGATTAAAAATTTACAAGTCAGACGTAAGTCTACTAATGAATTAACTAGCACATTATTCGTACCAATTTCTCCCTTCAAACTGAACAAACGTAGTCATGACAATGACGCGTCAAGGTTGCGAGCGTGAACCAAAGTTTCAAGCTTTGAAACACGCTGAAGGGAAAGTCATATTATCCTGTCTAAGCACATCTAACGGAACCAAATCTTGTGGTTTTCCATATTCTGCCAATAATCTTAGTGATGAAATCATTTCAGAAATATCTATTCGGAAATTCACCGATGGTCTAAAGAAAATGGATAACGGTGAAGGCGAATTAAATTTTAAAACTGTGCTGGATCAACGAAAGCCCAGTTTAACTAACGATCCAGCGCTACTTTTCTCGCTTCTAAAAAAGAATGAGGCATTGTTAAAGGAAAATATTGAGTATGTAAGTCCCAAGAGTTTACGTACATATCGCAAGTTAATGTTACCTTATTTTTGTTAACAGTATATTTGGTTATTACGAGAGGTTTCCAAATACTTAAGCTTAGCACCTATTTCATTCATCACAAATTTTATGAGGTCTTGTTTCAAATTTACTCAGTCAGACTTCTCAGCTAGGTCGTCCGAGTTGACCTGTATTACTGATATTACAACATTAATGTGCAAGGTTTTTCATACTTTAGCATCATCTACCACCATACAAAAATATGATATGACAGTCGCTAACAGTTTATTTATACACCTTACAAAACGATGAAGATCTGAATTTTAAAACATCAAATCTCTGACCTCGACAGGTGTCCTTAATGTACGCCAATTTTTACTATCTTACTTCCTACTTCAAGTATTTATTCAGTGTATCTTCATGATTATTGGCCATTCTCTATACCTGTCACCTCAAAGTTACTCCGGTCTTCAGTAATAACGATATGTCTATAGATAAATATTAATCCTTGCAGTTTATAACTCTGTGCAGATCCAATCTCGTTTTAAGTATATCAACAGAAGGTTCTGATATTACGTGTTTTGGCAGAGAATTCCAGTAACTCACTACTCGGTGCAAAAAATGAAACTCCAGACGTAGACGATCTGATCTCGGTTTTTGAACTTTCTTCGAATGTTCTCCCAAATGATCAGTCCTAGACGGAAGGGAAAGATAAGACATATTATTACCAAGGTCATCGTTCAGTATACGATAAGTCAATATTAGATCACCCCGTATTCTACGGTAAGGTGAAAGAAATAAGTTAAGGTGTCTCAGTCTGTCTTCATACGATAGACCGTTTACCATCTTAGTCCTTTGTCGTTGGACTCGTTCTAGCATATCTGCTTCACACTTGAAACAAGGACTCACTGCTTGAATCCTATATTCCAAGTGCGGTTGCACGAAAGTCGGGTATAATAATCTAAACATTTCCTCATCCAAATACCGGAAAGACCTATGGTAGACCATAATACTCTATAGCCTTTTGCAGCCGCAGCCTTACGGTGACTGATGGTTTAGAGATCACTGCTTAGTGTGACTTCTAAATCTTTATAGTCTCTTACTTTGGGTGGCACAACTCCACATATTGTCAGTCAGTCAGTAACAACGTGGAATCATTATAGTTATTTAATTGCGTCACCACACTCTTATTATAATTTACTTTTAGTGACCACCTGCCGATCCATGCCACCAATGGGCTAAGATCATCCAAATCTTTATGTCATCGGCGAAGAGTAGAACGGATGATTTTGCTACATTTGGTAATTCATTTACATAAAGACTGAAGGAAACTCCACTTTTCACAGGTGCCCACGAGAAGAGAGCTCCGTTTCCCAATCTATGACTGTTTAATGAATTACAAGACTTTCTAGTTTGAATTTAAGACCAGAATGAGAAACCTTATCGAAGGCTTTGCTTAGATTTATAAAAATCAGATCTACAGGAATATTTTGATCATTTGCCGCGGCCCAATCTTCTCTTGCAACGAGAAGATTTGTCAAACATGATAGGCCTCTCCGAAAATCATGTTGTTCCCTGGATAAAAGATTATGCCCTTTCACATGGTTTACAACAGCTATCCGGATAATTTTTTCCATCAGTCTTACAATTTCACTAGTTAAGCTAACGGGTCAATTGTTACTAACGAAATCTTTACTCTCAGCATTATACACCGGACTAATTATCGCGTCTTTCCAGTCTCTGGGAAGTCTGAACTGTCGCAGAAACATATCAAACAGCATAGCTATAGGTTCAGCAATTACATCTGATAGGGCTTTCATAATCCTAGGATGAATATCATCAGGCCCACTGGATTTATCAACTTTGAGATACCGAATTAGTCTTAAGACAGTACCTTTCCTAATGACTACAGGGTCCATCAACAAGCCGCCACAATCACAATGAATCGTTGGTCGTTCTTCATTTGCTGAAATATTCCGATAAAGCCTTAGCTTTTTTGGCATCATTTCTTTCCAAGATTAGTAAATTTTCTTTTATCAGAAGTGATGAAACTCCATTGCTTCTCTGAGTTTGTCTTTTTATATACGAGAATAATCGTTTCGGACTATATCTACAATCTCTAACCAATTGTTTTTCATATGATCGTCTGATCTTACTTATTAAAGCTTTGCAAGCATTCTTAGTCTTATAATAACTGGATCTGTACTATTCTAAGCCAGTAGAGATGAACATATTCCAATACTTTTTCCTACGTCTAAGTAGTTTCCTGACTTGTTTAGTTAGCCATGGTGAACAGTCATTCGGTCTACGTGGTGCCGGGCATGGTATAAACGCGGATGTAATTGAACTGAACTTACCTTTAGATATAGACCATGCTTCTCTAACTGATGAGCTAGTATCTACTGAACAATCTGTCTCAGCAGCGCACTCCTGAATGGCAGATATGTTAGCTCTCCATACATTTGAGAGAGGCTTAACCTGATCGTATCATGTCACTAGCTCTAAACGTGATTGACAAAACAATGTGATCGCTATTCACTAACTGTGGAAAAATATTTAGGTTGGCAATATCCTCAGTTGCATGATAGATTACCAAGTCCAGCAGAGAAGAACCTTGGTTTGCACCAAAACGTTTGGGTTTGGATATATGGTGTACTAATGCATGCTCCATTATTGTTATCAGGAACCTACTATCAAAGGAGTTTATAGATCCTTCCGTTGTCATCTCAGTCCAAATAATATCAGGTGCATTAAAATCTCCTATTATCAAGCAACTGGTATTTGCACTCCAAAGAAAAATGTGCTCAAAATAAAGTCATTAGCTAAGCAGATTGGGCTGCGATAGATGACACCGAGCGTAAATGTACTACATCCGATAGACAATTTACAGCTAATGACTTCACAAGTTTCACTATCATGGGATTCGCAAACAAAGGAGCGGATATTTGTATTATTGGCCATTTATAAAAGTATGCCACCCTTTTTCCTTCATCTTCTTTCCTATCACTTCTTAGGTAGTGATATCCAGATAATTCTGTAGTAATGTCAAAGTTCTAGACTAATCAAGTTTCTGTCACAGCTACAATGAGATTTGCGTATTTTTATCATGATTGGTTCTTATTTGTTACGAATAGTCGCGCGACCCATTTCTTTGTTATTATTTGCACATGATTGGCTTAATTCTCACATATTTGTACATAAATACTAAATATCAGAGTAAAAATTGATATTTCGTTTGACTCAAAAGGCTGTGAACATCCTAGTAATAGTCAAATGTTTTACGGTTTCCTTAGTTGCATCAAGGTGTCAGTTCAAGGAATTCAGTATTCTTTAATACAACGAATTTTTACTAAACGACAGCAAATAAACAAGAAATTTGTGTAACTGTGATCCTATTCAGTCATTCATATTGCTCATTTCATCTAAATGGTCTTATGTTGAACAAATCAGCTACCAGAATAATATACATGTATAAAGTCCCAATGTTTTCACTCTTATTTCTTGTGGCTCCAATAAGTGGCTAGAAATGCTGAAGTAAGTAAACCCTAGATGATGTAATTGAAGGAATTCAGGGAGAAACCTTTTGTAAGAACTTGCATTCCATCATTTCACTCGGCATACATTTGATTTTATTCATAATTTGGGAATCTATTACAATATTTTCTACAGAAATCAGTGATTAAAAGACAAACTTTACAAATAGAACTGCTTGAAAGTAAGCTCAAAATACTCCATGCTGACGAGAGAGAAGATAATATTGAAGTAACCGACCGGAAAAATATCGAAAGGCTGAAGAAATATTGCGAAGAATTACAAGGACAAGCAGGCAATGAAATGAATAAATACATATATTATTTCAATTCATAGATTCTTGAAATGAAGGAATTTTTTCATGACCATGGTCTCATGTGGATAGGAAGACAATCAACTGATCATGTAATCAGTTCAAGAGATGAAACTGGTCTAAGTAGGCTTTGTTTATAAATCTAATGACAATGATATTGCTATATGTTTATTAATAATAAGAATTTGATGAAACAACCTTCAGTCGCTTAGTTCAACAGATTTATTTATTGAATAATTGGAACAATGACGCGCACAATGAGAAAAAATTTATTTCAGAATCCAACTCATCAAATATAGTTTGTCTACAAAATCAATCACCGATTCCACTAACTCTATATGCAGATGGATTATGCTTTAATTCTGGACCATTTCGTCCTTATAAAAATCATGATACGCTACAATTCGTCCAAGTAATCCTAATTTGTCACTTTTAAGTAAACTTGTTTCATGCTAAACGTTGATTAATGTACATTACAATAACACAACTAACTGGTAAAATGATAGACAGCATAAGATAACCAAACCGATGATTTGGTAATGTACGACTCGGTAATTACAGCCGACTAGATTTCAAAGGATAAAACAACTAGTAAGCACACTAAAAATATTTTTGTCAGAGAGTTAAATCTGTTATATATACACAAATTATTTGCCCGAAATAGTATAACGGTACGTTACTTGTCAAATAAATGGTAAACAATCAACGTTAAACTGAGGATTACGAAGCAGCCGATGATGCTACACTTAGAACTCTAGAATTATATTATCTGATGACATATTTAGACGTTATTAATAGTAACAGACCGAGTTTCACCAAGAAACGATAAAGAGCAAAAAACTACGACTCGTCTCAGGGTTATATCCACATTGTTTATTAGACGTACTTGAAACGAGGAATCACTAGAATTCCCACAACACAAATTAAGAACACAAAGACTGATTCAAGTGAAGATTTATTAACCCCAAGAACGTGACAACGACTTTAGTTGACAATGTACTCATTTATATAATGATTTGTAAACACATTTGACCATTAATTAGTAAGAAGTCACATATACGAAATTATAGCAAGAGTGCACGTTGCATGCTATACTGAACACAGATTACATTAATTTAATACGGTAATATCATATCTTGAATAAACATTGCACTAAAGTAAATCAACGTTATGCTGAAGAAAATAGCACACTAAAAGCATAAAAAATATTATAATGAACAATCTCCATGCTGAATCAAAAATAGAATTAACGTTCAGCACGAGTCACAATAAGTTAAAAGTGTAATTTTGCTTTTTTTTTGTCCCACCATATCAATCAAGATAGATTACCGTTACTAGCTTGAAACTTTTTAAAGTAAATATCTCTGATTCTCTTTATCTTATAAAATCACACTTTACTCCTTAGAAAGCAGTAAGATTAAGCTGTTCAAGTGGAATAAAGTGATTACAGTTCTATGAATTAATTTAATAAATGATACAGACTAACTGCGTTTTCAACATTATGGGCTATTGTTCCTATTTACTTTTGATTGGCATTTTCCAGATATCACTGTATCTGAGTAAAAGTAAATCGTTCATGGAAGACAAGGATAATTAAGGGTTCGGAACGCTAAAAAGCCACAAATCTAATAAAAAAAATATGTCGCTTTTTTGGTTTCCATTGACTATCTGACTTACCTTATTAAGTAGTCCAAAGCTCCCAAACAACTGGGATCTAGAACAATGAAAAATTCTTAAAAAAAATAACCTCCTTTCTATAAAAAACATTTCGAACCAAATTTCTGAGTAATTTACATCTAAAAAGTTATAACCCATAAACTTCAACAAGAAATCAATCAAGTTGGTTGTTAACCTGGTAACTTATTTTTATGCTCAATAAAGTTATTTCGTCATTTATACTCTTTTTTATGCATAAGTGATCTTAAGATTTGCTAAATAATTTTAATGTAACTAGTGAATATGAGAATTTAGTTTGAATCTCTTGAAGCTAGAGTGTTTCATCGCCCTTCTCTGTACCATCTACCAATAACTGTTTAAAAAAATGAAACTGTGAGTAATAGGAATGATTTTGAAGGCAGACACCAAATAACAAAATTTTATTTTGACAGGGGAAAGTTGAAGGGAATAATATGACGACATGTTAGCCAAGTTTTTTGTTTAACTTTAGTACAACCGAAACCAGGCACAGGTTTTTCATAACTTTTTAAAGCATCTGTTTTATCATTGACTAAAATAAAAATAGTTCTCACCTATAGACTATCATCAGATAGAGAATTACTGAAAGCCTTAGTGTATTAAGTATCTGTTTTATCCTCGCTTTGTAACCCTCAACAGTATCATTCTATAATCTTTCGCAAAGTTGACCCCACTATCTTTGCGTACGATATCCTTAGAGCACTAGGTCACAATTTAAAAATCGAGTCGTAATTTTGATGATTTGGCTAAGACATGGATGGAAAGTACGGAAGAGTCTTTGGTGGTGAAGAAACAACTGTCTAATTCTCTTATGTCTTCAATGACTCTCCAGCTGAAATATCAATTCATGACGGGAAATTTTTTCAAATTATGTTAGTTTCCATTCTGAATCTAGAAATACCATGTTGTTCTAATTTTTTAGGATATATTGGATGGTTACTTTCCATCAGAATTACAATCTTCTTATCCAAATGGGGTTCAATTCAAACTAATCGATAAACACACAACTCATTTTATGTTATTGAAAAAACCAACATCATTTTCATCCTGTGGTTATAAACTGGGAAGTTCTTTAACAAATGAACAAGATGTAGGTCAGGAAGTTTCCTTCAGTAATGAGAAACACCTACCAAACAATGATAAAAACGAAAAATTCAGTATTGAACAGTAAGAAATAATTAAAGATGATTTGATATTTCTTAGTGTTGGAATTGTTTTCTCTGAATGGCCAGATTACTGCTTATAATTTCTACTAAACTGGCTCATTACTAAAAACTAAAAATTACAAAGAGGGTACATTCAGACATGCTTTTGTCAAAAGATTTTAACCTGGAAAGTATTGTCAAGAAACTGTAAGTACGAATTCATCTCTATAACAAGATTGATCTTTGAAGTAACATTTTCTTCCGGTGTCGAATGTAGCATCATTTGAAGCTTAGTAAAAAACAGTTCGGCAGTCAAACATAAATTTGTTTGCTAGGCTTAAAGCCATATTTGGTGTGTGACAGCTGGGGATACTATTCGTCTAACCAGACTGAATTGAACTGACAGCTGAACTAGCTGATGTACATTTTTGTAATTACTGGATACATTCCCATTTAGGCAGAAAACGATGTACATCAAAGTGTTCAAAACATTCTTGTCTCAAGACGGTAGAAGTGTTATTAAAATTAACTCAATAATCGAATTTATTCATAGTCTTTTTTAAAAACCAAAATATCCAGATCTCAGTACATGATTTATTTACAACTAATAACAGTCATAAATAAAATAATTTAAGGTGTACAAGAAATACCACTGTATAAACGGAAATTTTTTAAATAAACAATTCGATTGTTGATGTCGTGAAATTTGGTCTAGTGAAATGGCTAATATATTTTTGACATATTCCCAGGCAGTATGTACTTCGACATTCTATTAATGGTTAATGGAGGAGCAGACAGACTATAGGCTAACAGATCAAAACATTGCAATCATCTTTAAATACTGAACTGATTCGTGCAAAAAATGTAAATTTTCTGGTTGTTTTCTTGACACAACCATAATAATATAAGAAAAGATGGTTTGCGGCTAGCAGTAGGATCCAGGACGCTCGTTTCATCCTATTTGGGCGTACCTGCATACCAGAGTTGATGTTCACGCGCGTCCTGGATTCCACTGTTAGCCACCAACCATCGATGCTTATATTGCTTGTGAATTAAGGCAGCGTCTAGGCAATCTGAACAGGATGCACATATGCTAACAAGAGACTGATCAACTGGCGTTCTAAACATTGATGGGAAGATTCAAGCAAACAATACCGAATGAATTTAAGCATAATACTGTTTGAAACCTTAATTTAAATGGGTCATAACCATAAATATATATACTACATATCTGCAAATTAAACTGTTTTGTAACTCATTTTCTGTAATTTATACGTTCCATTTTAGAATTGAAAATCAAATGAAAGCAGAATGTAATGCCTCATCCAATAAACTGACTTCAAACACATTAAATATTAATGTGCGAAATAAATCTTTAACTTTTGATGAATTGCTAAAACGTTTACCGGAGTATAAATTAACAGAATCTGGTCAGTTGTTAAATATTAGAAAAGACATAAAAAGTGAATTTGGTGAACAAATTAATATTCCGTCAACTAGAATAATTAAAACAGATTACACATTTAAAAATAACACAACAGACAAGAATCAATTAAAATCAGAACTTATAACACTAAGGATTTATTCGGAAAACGGTTTGCAAATTTACAATGTTGAAATGCATCCAGAAGATACAATAGGAGAGTTATATGCAACGTTAGATCATGCTAGATCGACAACACTATCAAAAACCAATAGAAATTATCGTCTTGTAGCTATGGGTTTACTTAACACTATTGACAATCCCAATGAACTATGCAATCACCAAATGTTAGTTGATCTTTCTGCAACATTGGTTGCATCTGGCATAGTAGATCGTACAACGCTTCGTATGGAATTAATTCCACAAGAATTGACGAAAAATAAATTACACTTTGATGTGAATAATGCTTTGTCAGCTCATCGGTTAAACTTATGGAAACAAAATGAATCAATAACACCAAATGGTATATTGAATCAACTTCTTTAATGACTTGCTGAAACCATCAGAACAGGGTTGAATTTCGGATATTTTTCACGACTTTCATAACTAGAAAAAGCACAAATATTTTAGTATAACAGTTTTATGTTGAATACAATAATCGTATCAGAATTCATTGTTCTAATTTTGTTAATACTTTATTTTGTTTGAATTTTATTTGTATAAAGACGAATTGGTCAACTGCTCCATTAAAGAATTTGAGTATTTGTTTTAAAAGTAATATGAATAAATTGAAGGGTTATATTATGAGTATTGCATAAAAGGTTGACTAAAATGTAAGGAACTCTTTTGGTAATTGACTAAACACTGTAAGATTCACATCTTTATAAACTGATTGTTATCTTATTAATGATGATTAGTATCTGTATTGAAAAATAATGTTTAGTATTTCAGCATCTGAGATAATATATACAAGGTTTCCCTGTATAGTAGTCTTTACTTAGTCAGTGACCTCTTATATTACTCCCAGTAAAACTTAGAAATTCTGAGCACTTCAAAGTTACATGAACACTTAAGAAATAATTAAGTTCTCAGGTATCAAACTCATCAAAACACATCATCGATAAACTAGGAAAATCGGATGCAGACGTAAAGGCGAGGATTGGCAAAACAAAGGCCACATTCCTACAATTGAAGAACATGTGGAGTTCAAAACAACTGTCAGCCAACATCAAATTGAGAATCTTCAATACGAACGTCAAGACAGTTCTATCGTACGGAGATGAAACGTGGAGAACTACTACAACTATCGATGTCCGGTGGATTCGATGGGGCTGGTCTATTCAAAATTTCTTCGAAATGTTCCACCTATCTGTTCCTCCGTTTTTGAATCTGATTGATTGTCTCGCCTTCTCTGTTCTTAATCGGTCTCTTCGGTTTACTATACTTGCTTGCCAGTTTTTTCGTCGTGTCATATAGCTGTTTCATATTTCCTTCCCCTGCAGCTTTTATCACTGTCGTTGCAAGCTCTTCCACGTATTTCTGCTTGTCGGGTCTAATGCAGATCTTCACTTGCTTGTTTACTTCTGTGTATTCAGCTTGTCTTGACTTTGTCTGCTTTTCTTGGGTTGTTGTTAATTGCTATCTTCCTGTTCTTTCTTTCTTGAATCCTGCCCAGGGTTTCCATTGAAATCCATTCCTTATGATGATGCTTCTTTGATCCCTTCCCACTTGTTTTCCATCACAGTTTCTTCTTCCAGTAGATCCTGTAACGCTCGGAACCTGGTGTTGCGAGTTATCTTGAATTGGTTGAGTTTGTCAGTATCTCGTAGGAAGTCTGTATTAGGAAATGACGGTAAATCAGTTGATGAAGTTATGAATCTTCATCAACTGAGATGGTTGGGCCACATGCTGCGTATGCCTGAACACCGATTACCACGACGTGCAATGCTAACCGGTGTTAGGGAAAATTGAAAGGAAGTTAGGGGCGGCCAAACCAAAACGTGGCATCAGTGCTTGAAGTCACTAACTTCTGGTCTTAGTCATGTTGGTAGATGCAGACTACCTGGTTGGGGTCCGCGTGACTATCGTAACCAATGGTTGGAGACTTTGTGTGACATGGCTCAGAATCGATCACAATGGCATCGGTGTATACACTCTTTGTCTTCCTTTAAACTATGAGATTGAAATCGCTTCATGTCTTTCTTTCTACGAACTAATTCTTTCTTCCTGTATTATATCCTCATACACAATTTTTCTTTTATATACTACTACCTTTGATGTGACTACTTCTATGAATCCGGTGTTCATCTTGTTGTGCTAATGCGGTATGGCAACTTGGACCGATGCATATATGTGCCTGGTCCTACGTTGCAGCTGACTGACTGACTTTGTACTGTTGTTTCCCCAGCTATCTAGTGTTTTTTTACCTTCAGTTTCATATTTGCTAAAAGTAAACAAATATCGAACTCGTTCTCTGGGGCATAAACGTGATTTAACTCAACTGGAACTTATAATTACTTCATTGAATTATTTCATAGTAATTTAGCCTTTTTTATCTTGTGATATAAGCTTTCTTTCGATCTTGTTGTTTATAACTTACATCAAAAGTGAACAAGTCAATCACCTGTATAATTGACACAAATAATAATTTTCTTATTTATCGCGTGGTATAACTATCATAATAATAATTTTTCACTAATAATAAGTTCACTTGTACATTTATTGATAATAAAGGAGACAAAATGGAAGCTGTATGGACACGAGAAAATATACGTTCATTGCAAAATTTACTTAGGGATCCTGAGTTGGAAGATGATAGTGATCATGATGACGTGAGTTAGAAAATTTTCCTTTTTAATCTTTTAAATTAATTGGACTATTATTCTAAAGTTATTCTATTCATGTGTCCTTTTATTCATGATAATCTAAATTCATTACTGAAAGTGTAACCATGTAGTTTTATTTGAATCGATAAAAACCGATGGTTGACTTATTTTTTCAGTCTTACTAATAATGTGGAGATGATTCATCTAAACTGTTTTAGATTGGTGAGAATTTGAATCACTCGGTTAAACGACCTCCTATCTTTGGCTGTGTGAAAGGATAACTAGATAGTAGTTTTTTGTCAAAGTACAAATCAAGCCTAATATATATGTTTATTAGAGTACTCATATTCCCACGTTTACTTCTTTTATTCAAAAGTGAATTATCTTACTAACTAAAGCAAATATCGACTTGTCTTAACTGAAAAAGATCTCATTAGGTAGATACACATCATTTTTAGTATCCTCCATTAGTTAAGTGAGTAGAATTTTCGGTCTTCAGGGTTATCGCTGTTGAGTTTTTCATAGTTTTACCCTGATAATTAAGCAACAATTAAATTAGAATAAAGACTTCTACTTTTTCTTCATTTTAAAGGATCGTGTAAAGTAGTGACTCACTGTTTAAAACACTTTCATTCATTGCGTTAAAGATTCAAACTCGGCTCCACTTCGGTTTCAGAAATTCCTACAGGAAAGTTGTGGCACAATCCACAAGTGAAGTAACTTGTTCTCGGTTGCTAGGTTACACACACCTTTGAACGCCCTAGTGTATTGACTAGAAGGAAATTTCACACTTTGAAATTACTGCCATACAACCATGTGTTTATGGTCCCTTCTGAGAAAATACTACTCACTGTTTTCACTTGGCATGGGTATATTCATAGATTAAAAGAGATAAAATAAACCCTGAGAACATTGAATAGGTTGATCTATACAAGGGATTTTGGTGGAAATCTTTCAAAGCCCATGTTTCTGTCAGTAATTGATATAAACTACAAAGTCCTGAACCAATAAATGATGTATGAACTTACTTTATGCACCAGACACTGTATGGGCCTCTAACTCCCTGAATTATGGATTAAACATTTAGGTCAGATACCTTTTTGGCGAGCTCTCTAAGAAAATACCTGTCCTCCTTTGGGCATTTAAACAGTGAAATAGTCTGTACATCAGTCTCATTCAACAAGAGACTGGATCCGTTGATCAATCGACCGAATATGACTTTGTATTGACCCAAGTTTTAATACCTTACATCAGCACATTGAAAGAATGACCTAACTAGATGAGTGGTAAATGAAATGAAAATATTATCAGCTATGATTGAAATTTAAACATCCAATATACAGAATAAAAGGAATAAAAAAATGAAGATTTGCTGTCGGTAAGACCCACATTTCATCCAATGTACTCTATTACAAATTAAATCTCTGAATACTAATTTCCCACCTTCTTAATTGGCCCAGACCAACAGTATAGGACTTCATAGACTGACACCATATCTTGGTTTGGCTAAATCCTGGCATTTTCCCAGCTTACTTCTCTGCCAGTCAGCAATTTATGCCAGGCTAGATGATAGTTGGGGGAATGTTACACATATCTCAATTGCTGTAACCAACAAAGCTTTACAGCCTTGTCATTCGAACTACCCATTTTACCTGGTATCCTGTGTCTAATCTTATCATTATTATTGACTATTAGGCAAAGTGTCATTCACGCGACCCAGTGATAAGTGTATTACATTAGTTTTCAGGAAACTAATAAGTAACTTGTAGACCAAAAATCACCTAATAACAATTTCATTACTGACTTCATTAATTCTACTGTCGACTAGTTCAATAAGTAAAGTAATAAGTTATGTCCCATGAGTATCAAACACTATCTCAAATATTTCTCTCTCCCTTCACAAATAGATACGTTGATAATAAATGTTACACATTTTCTTTCCTTGCTAGGTAATAACTCCAATGTCTAAAATGAAACCAGGTGATATTGGTCTCAAGTGTCGTTCTGAAGGTTTGTCTCGATTCACACTTTTTCAATCATATCTTTATCCAATTTATTAGTCAAGAAAGAAAAACCTAATGTGAAACAAAAGAATCCCAATGATATATGGGATATTGATGAAATACCAGAAGGCACACAGCATGAAGATATATATGATCCGCGCCCTCAGCCCAAGTAGGTAAAAATCCTATCTATTTTATGTTAGATTACAGCCTTCTTTTTTCAATTTACTAACTTATGGAAAATATCAACTATCCTAAGAATCACTACTAATAGTTATTATAATTCAGAAGTTCATTGAGCATTTGATGTACCATTCAGTACATTAGTACAGCTGTTTAAGTAACATCTTCAACCTATCATTACGATAAAAATTCTTGACCTCTTGGATATTTATGTATACCACCATATAAACATAATCTTGAGTCATTATCGAAGACACCAAAATGTAACATTGATTATTATTCAACGGTTAATCATCAAACTGGTATCTTCAGTGTCTCTGTATCTGACTCCAGTTAGATCGTATAATGATTGTTGTCGAAATATGCATGCCACCAATCCTCGCTTACTTTTATCAACCTAATTCGCGTTGAAGAATAACGGAATAAAAATAAGTCAAATACGAGAATGAAGTTAGAATACGTATATTTCCTACACTCATTGATCTGAACAGACAATCAAGGGAACGAAGCGAAGGAAAACACAGTGACGTGCGGTGGAGAAGGCGAGTGAACCAACTCAATTTGATAAAGAGTGACTCAATATTTATGTTCAGACAAAAATAAATTACAGACACATAATGAATTGAACAAGCAATTAACACACATACGATCATTAAAA